ATCAAACATTCTTAAAGCAAAAGTAAAGTTATAATGATACAAACAGCCATATAAAAATACATTTACAAGTTGAAATGACTGAAAATGACTTAAAATTACAATTAGCCACTATTTTTATGATCACAATTATGGATTAACCAAATAATGTTAATTAGAGATAGACTGATATATCAGTTGGCAGATATATCAGGGCGATATTTTGCCTTTTTAGTACATCGACGATAGGCCTTAGATCTCCTACATAGGTTGAAATTTTGTTTTGATCAATCTGCTGTCTAAAAATTACACACAAAGCTTTATATTAACACTTTAATATGAAGAGATAACTGTATGAAACATGACTACACAGCTCTCTTATGGGTTTGTGGTAAAAAGGGCTGTGGGTAAATGGGGAAAATAATCAAAATCGGCCCCACATATCGGCACAAAAACGATCAGTATCAGCATCAGCCACTAAAAAGCAAAAAACATATCAGTCAACCTCTAAGCTTGACATCCCTATTGTCCAGCAAACTAGTGATACACAGATTACAAACACTCTACAAACTGGGCATCTGTATTAAGCTTTGGCCCCATGACTCTTTTCATACACTGCAAACAAACGCAGTCACTGTGATGCTGCGGAGCCTGGACAATGGCCTGGCCTGTTCTGGTGGTCAAAGCCAATTAAAGTGTGTTGTGTTTCAGTTAACAAATGTCCATTGAGTCGGGCAGAGGAGGAATTAGAATGTGACTGGTGTTGTTTGAGAAAAGGAAAAGTTTTTAATAACAAGAACCAAAAAAGTCTGTGGTCTGTGTGAATTTCATTGTAAGCGACTAGTAATAGTATTATTGTCACGTATACCAACATTTCATACTATACTACGGAATAGACTCAATACGCAATACTGATCCTGATACTGTAATGAAAAAAAACAAACAATCCTTCTTAACACAAAGTCATTTTCAACATTAAATCATAGTACACTAGTCTACTACACTAGTGTGCTCTTAGTCTAGCTCTGATACAGCTCCAGATCATTCTAAAGAAAGCAAAGGTTCATTTCTGTCCTGTCTCTTTGAATCAGAAAAAAAGTATTTGATGATGTTTAACTGAACCAAAAGAAACATACTGGAGTTGTAACACAGGAAACTCAGTGTTGTAATCCTTCAAATGGCTAAACACGTTCCTAAGAAGATTATTAAAAAGTGTGACCAAAGCCAGGCTCAGAAATGAACTGAATTTCATTTCTAATCATCATGGCTCGGGTCAGTCAGTAACAGAATGTGGTGTGGAGCAGATTTCAGACTTTGGAGAAAGAAAATTAGATATTTTACATGTTAAATGGCACAAATTAGAAGGCTATATATGTCAAGCGTTTTAAAATTTTGTTTCAATAAGACCAGAAAATGTCAAATTGAAAATCAAGATTGAAGTTTTGATGATTATTTTGTCATATTAAACCAAATAACGCAGCTCTGAATCTAGAATTAAATGTAAAAAAAAAAAATGGAGTTGACAATAGCTAACACCTCGTTGCGTCCTTTTTATTTACTTTTTTATTCTCATACATAAAATTAAACCTTGCGAGGCTACAATTTTTGCATTAGTTTAGTGACTGTTTGTAATTTTGTAAATACAGACTAAGTACTAAGGTTGTCAAAAGTTTCAAAAGTCAGATATTAATAAAAACGAAAACAAGTAGTGAAACTAGACACAAATTTGAGCAGGTATCAATACTAAAAAAGTCACATTTACAGGACAGAAATGAACCTTTCATGAATAGATTTAGAATAATCTTGAGTTGTTTCAGAACAAGTATAAGAGCAATGGGGGATTACAACAATGTAAGGCCACGTGGAAATATTTAAGGTTAAAAATCATATCCTACTGTCTAAAGAAAGAGTGTTTTTAATTATCTTGGTATCAAAATCAGTATTGAGTTTATTCCGTATTGTATTTTTTTCTAACTGTCCTTAATAACAGTGCGTCAGTGGAAACCTTAAGGTCACTCTTCAATCAGCCTTTAGAACAGATGTACTTCTCTATTCTAGTAATTACTTCTCCTGTTAATACACTTGCCACATGTCAGTACTGCACACAGATTAATGAAGAACTAAAGCACAGTCACAGCGAGGGTCTATCAATGTCCTCTGTACAGCGGTGGAAGGCAACAAAGTACAAAATCAAAGTACAATACTTAAGAATAAATGTTAGGTGTCTGTACTTTACTTAAGTATATGTCTACAGTGGATACCCTTCACCTTTTTTAGTTCACAACATTTGAAAGCAGGTATTTTAGATCTTAGACTTAGACTTAGTTTTAGCACATTTAGTTTGAACTAAGATCCCTGAGCAAACCAAATACACAAAAAGCAGCTAGAAAAATTAAGAAATCAGTTGAATCACTTAAAATTTGGTAAATTCATTATCAAAATCACTACATTTCATTCTTAAACTCTTCTAAAAATCTCTGCAAAATACTTTTATTTTTACTCTTAAAGTACATTTTAAACAGGTACTTTAATACTTTTACTTAGGTAGATTTTCTCATGTGATACTTTTACTTAAATAACTTTTTGCCCTTCTACTTTTACTTACAGTAAGTAACAAAATTGAGTACTTCACCCAGCACTGCACCTGTCCCACCACATAACAACATTCTTTAACCCAGTGTTTCCCATAGACCAGGTCACGACCCTCAGGTGACTCACACAAGATTTCTTTTTTGGGTCGCCTTGTCACGATCTGCATGTAGGTCTGCAATATACAGGGCAAAAAAATAGATGATCTTGCTGTTTTTCATTGTTTAAAACTTGAGTAATACTAATTGTTCAGAGAGACAAGTCAACAATAAAATATCCTCCTTAATCAATTAATTCAATAATGGTCAAATCCACCTTTATTTTGTGATTTACGAATAATGTCTATTGACTTGGGTCGCAAAGGTTTGTGACTTTTAAAATATGGGTCTCCCCAGAAAAAACACTGATTTAATGCCTGTCCATCCCTGTCACATCCTCACTAGGAATGAGACAGTAAACAATAATATCATGATAAAAAGGGTAGACAATATTCATTTATGGAACATTTATAGAATCGTAATAATCGCCAACAAAGCTAATCGGCGTAAATCACCAAAATACACAGAAAAAAAACTACTTCTCGGTGATGTTTTTCTTCTAGGTCATTGTTGTTTTCACTTATAACAAAGTACAAGACTATAACAGTTGTTTAAATATGGAACCGACTCATGATATTAAAATTATAGTTCTTCATATTGATAACATTTTAAACTGTCATCAGCTTTTATAATTATCGTGATATAATCGTTAATCTAATTTATTTTGGTCATGGGAATCGTGATACCAAATATCAATATCGTCCCATCTATAATCCTCACCATACTGAACTTCCTCCAACACTCCCCCAGCGATCTTAACAAGACAACAAACATCTCCGCTAACATCGAACTGCATGTGTGGAGGGGGCATCCCGCCAAGGGCCAGACATTCCTCGCTGCACTCCCAGCTGGGATGACGAAGGGGTGAAGGTGAGTGAGTAGGGGGACCGCAATTCCCAGGATAAACACAGGTATAGAAGAGTGGGTTTAGCTTGTTAACAAACATCTCCCATTCCCCCAAACACGAAACGTCACAGGGTCTTAACGTGCCACATTAAAGGGCCCATATTACGGCATTTTCTGATCTGTTATAAAGTTATTTTCTCAACACAAACATACCTGGAGCTGTGTTTTGTTTCATTCAGACATGTTTAACACAAATCTTATTCTCCTAAACAGAAAACGCTTCATTCCACCTTGTGATGTCATGTAGTAATACAGGAATTGCACTATTCTTTCATTAGGGTTAGGATTGTTTGGAAAATTTCAGCCCCAGAACTGTCAATCTCTGCTGAATAAAACACAAAAGGTGGTTGTTAACTTGAAAACTACCACTACATAACATCACAAGGTGGAATAGTGCATTTTGAGCTTTGGAGATGTAGACAGACTAATAATGAAGGGTTACTCAAGCATGTATGAATGAAACAAAACATAACTCCAGGTATGTTTTTACATTTATGGCATATTTTAACTCTCACAACTTTGCGTAATATAGGACCATAAAAGTACAATTTTTGATATTTCCAATGTATAGATTACACACTTTTTACACTGAGAAATCTACACACAATTTAAATCCTGCTTTTAAATAACTGATTGTCAATCATAAAATGCAAAAAAAAACATGGCCGGCGCATATTGACTCAACTAAGCTTTAACTGAAATAACTCATTATTTAAAAAAACATAAACCATAACCTCAATACTAGAGCAAAGTCCAGGGATTGGAATACAAAACAAATAAAGTTTGATTAGTAATCCGCTCACACAGACGCGATCGAGGCCAAGGCCAGAGCAGAGGAGAGCGTGACGTGACGTGAGCCTGCTGAGAAAGTCATCAAAGGCTATCGGAAAGGCTTCGTGGTCATCCTCTCTGCCACGTATGTGCAGTGATGCTAAAGCGGCCGCACTTGGGAGACAAAGAGGCAACTTCACTCAGGAGTTCTTTTCGGGTGAAGACAGCAGACGCCGGGCGCAGAATCAGGACAACAAAACACGTTTAAGCCCGTGGAAAACAATCTGACTGAAAGATTCGCGACACTGTGAAGGCTGTCGATGCGTGAAGCGATGCAGCAATAACGGTACAACTGGTACAAGTATGAGTAACCCGGCGTCTAGATGCATACAGTTTGTTTATTTGTTTCATAAGGTGCGTAACGCGCGCTCTCCGCTTAGACTCACTATGTAAAAATGCAGCCTCGCTTACTGACTGCTGCTATGACACTGACATAACCTAAATAGGCCATAATACAAATAGTTTATCCATATGGTCTCAATCACTCTCCTCTTTTGTTGACGTTTAAACAGGCGCACTTCGTGTCACCCAACAGCGAAACTCACAGAGAAAATAGCGCTTTTTCTGTCTGAACACGGATGAATCAACCGGTGCCTTTACCTGACTCTTCAGTTTTTAAACCTGTCTTCCGCTGTCCTTTGTGCCGATTTTCTCCTCACGCCGGCTCCGCTTTGTATTTATGCGTGGAAACCAGAAGCAGCCAGTTTTCCCGGAGCCCCAGCCTCCTCATTAATAAATGTTGCGTCAGGGGCGTGGCCAAGACGTCGAAACTCCGCCCACGCGCGCTGGCCCCGCCCCCTCGATGGTCAGACTCCTCTGACAGACCGAAGAGAAAAGCACCATCAGAATGACTGCGAGAAAACTGTCAACGTGTGCACAAAGCATACTGTTTTAATTTTGTCAGCAAAAAAGACATTGAATCATAAACTTGAGTGACCTTAGGTTAAGTAAATACAGATAAATATAGACAATATGCCCAACAACTGTACAACAACTCTCCCTTATGTAACAGATAACCCTATGTCCTGTCAGTAATCATATCTTTGCTGCACTGTCTCCCTATGACCTCTTGTAATATTGAGATTTTATATTTTATTACTTGTTTTTCTATTTTATTTGACTTGTACATATACATTTATACAATTGTGCCTTATTTGACACCTGTCTCTTACTATCTTTTTGCTGCTTATTTAGAATTTATTATTACCATTTATATTTTTGCTCTTTGTTATTATATCATATTGTGATGTGTGAGCTACTGTGTCCAAATAATTTCACTTGTGGATCAATAAAGTAAAAAGAGACATTACAGATACATGTTTTAGCCTACTGGCCTGCTTTAAGGTAACCTGATTCATCAGTTTAACTTCATGGAAACCATCTGACCTTGCAGTGTTAGAATTTGTTCCACTGATGGTAGGCAGATACTTTTTTATTTAACCAATCGCTGCTATTTGGTCATGACGTATGTAATGCGCTGCTAAGGGGGTAACTGGTATATTAAGCTTTTCCCAAATCCCATAGAAAGAAGGGCAATAATGTCTTTCCCCTTGATAAAATTCACTGAGCATTCTCTTTGTTACAGCTTTAAATCCTCTTGGGAATCTTTGCCAACACAGAATGTATGACTCTTTGCTGATTGGCTGGTGCCTGAAACTCGCATTTCTGGAGTTTTTGCGAACCGTCTAGTGTATTCCGATTTCTGACCTAGTGAACCTAATGAAATTGAGCAGAGGCACTAGGTGGCACCAGCCTGGCTAACTTAAAGGTGCGATATTACACTTTTATGTTTGAGTACTCATGGGTTATAAGTCTGTCTGTATCTCTGAAGCTAAAAATGCTCTGTTCCAGCTTGGGATGTTGCAGTAGTAGTTTTCAAGTTAACAGCTCCTTTTAGCTTTAGTTCAGTAGAGATTTGGCAATTCCAGGGCTGATTCTAGTGAAGGTGTGTGGAGTTGAAAAACATAGTGGAGCACTTCATGTATTGCCACATGATATGACAAGGTGGAATAGCGTGTTTGCCATTTGAGAGAAAAACTCAGACTAAATACCAGGGTGTGTGTGTTAAACATGTGTGAATGAAACAAAACACGACTCCAGGTATGTTTTGATGAGGAAACAGCTTTATAACATGGACCGACTTTACGGTCCACTACTTGCTTGTCTCCGTGGAAATGTTATTGTTTTGTCTAGAATGTCCCACAGTATAGATTAAACCTCTATTTATCACAAGAGAGACAAGCAGGTTACAGCACTGTGTTATTACAATACAGATTTGAGGAGAGTGGCCCATATTCACTGAAGGAATTTTAACAATAGAAACACCCGTAATAAATGTTAGATGGAAATGTTTAATGTTATACCATGGAAAGCAATAATATCTCCAAGTACTGAATGGACACTCCACCAGAAAAGTTACACACTGTATCTTTAAAACAGGCTGATTATAAGCCTCAAAATGCCACTAATCACAATCACACTCTGACTCAGTATTTGGGAAAGCTTTGGATGGCTTAGCTTATCCCAGAACAGCGCATGCAAGGACTAACATTTGTGATGAATTTTACAAGACAAAACATTTCTCATTTTCCTCAATTTCCCTTTAATTTGTATCGGTAACAGTTACAACAAAGACATCTGGAGAGGTGTAAAAACAATTCACTTTATGGCAGCAATCGTTTTAGTATGTCTTTTTAAAGGTCCTAAATTTTGCAAAATTGACTTTTATGCGCTTTAAGTCATGTTATAATCTTGTTACCTCATCAAAAACATACCTAGAATTGTTTTGGTTTTTTTGTTTGTTTGTTTTATTTACACATGTTTGAATAATAAATAGTGTAATATAGGCTTTTTAAAAATGATTCAGCGTTTGACTTTTTAGTCGCCAACTTTCTCAAATGAGCAAAACAACAGGATTAAACAGAAAGAAACCTCAACGTGATCAAATGAGACCAAATCAGAACAGGCTAATGTCAGGACGAAAATGGACCTCAACCAGGACCAAACCAGGATCCTGTGTCCTCAACTGAACCAGGACTAAACAGGTCTTGATTTGAGACTACACTGGAACTAATTTGGGTCTATAAACGAGAACTAAACCACATCCACAATCAAAGCGGGACCAAATCTGCAACATAACTGTCTATTTTTACAGTCTATTTTTAAAAGTGCAATATGTAACTTTTCTGGTAGGGACACTGTCATTGCTTTAACTTTTTTTGTTTTGTTATTATAGCCTTAAACGTATCTTACATGTAAAAAAACAAAACAAAAACAAAGATAATAAAATAATATAGATCAGAGCTACAAAGATGTGGGTATCTACAGAGGAGAAAATAGTCAGTAAATACATACACCATGAATTTCGGACTTCCGGTCATCGCGCAATGCATACTGGGAAGGATTTTACAAAAAAAATTAGCATCAAACCACCGTGCTTGATTTCCCAGTGGGAGGTGTCTATTGTCAAAGCCGATCTTTTCTAGTCTTTTGAACCAAATCGCTTTTGTTTCTGGTTTTGATATTGTCGTATTTTAGTTTTGGGATTTGGACATCGTTAATTGTGTGGTTGTTGGATGTCCTAAGAGCGGAAAACGGTTTGAGAAATAGGCTTCGGAAGTCCATAAATGCAAAAGGGAATCAGATATGTGTGACTGCAAACCTCCGTTCAGACAGTCGCCCTCCCTCCGTTCAGGACATCCAACAACCATACAATTATGATGTCCGAATCCCATAACTAAAATATGACAATATCAGAACCAGAAACAAAAGCGATATGGTTCAAAAGACTAGAAAAGACTGGCTTTGACAATAGACAAAAATAAACATGGTGGTTTGATGCTCATTTTTTCAGAAAATCCTTTCCAGTAGGCAGTGTGCAATGACCAGAAGTCTGAAATTCGTGATGCATTTATTAGAAAGATATTATTAGACTTTTGAATACCGGTGAAGTAAACATTTTGTGAAGGAGGATGAGGACGTTTACTGTTTTGAGAAAAGAGGATGCAGTTCATGAAAAAAGGAACAGAAGAAGAAGAAGACGCCCTTTGACCTCACTTTTGGTAAGACACATGTTGAAAGTGTGAGCTGTGTATTTGGGGATCAACAGAAAAGAGGTCATGAGCCTTTACCGTAAATGTTTGTGGATAAATAAGATACAAAGATCTATTTATAGACCAGACCTGACACTAAAATGTGGCAAACATATGTTAAATATGACACAGTAACTCATAATTATGTGTGAAAGTGTAAACAGGCTGAATACTGGTCATGAAATAAAATAAAGGATGCATCTTAAAACATTTTTGAGTAGAAGTTCTTGTAAGTTACTGTTATTCAAAACAGATATCAGCTGATTCAATCTACCAGCAAAATACTCTATAATATTATTTCAGAATGTATTTTTCAACACTGCAAATACCAACATCTAGCTAAAATAAAAACACTTAAATCAAGAACATTTTTCTTTATTTGTGTGGCTTCAACTTGACAAATAAAATGATATACCAATGGAATAAGTGTTTTTTTTTTTTCTTAATTCAAGCAACATTACATTTTGTTTCTTATTTGAAGTGCAAAGAGTTGTTGTTTTTCTTACTGTAGAAAGAAAAGTACAAAAAGTCTTTTACTTGTCAAGTGAAATTACCACAAATCATGATAAAAATGTTCTTAATTCAAGTAGCTGACTTTGGTTTTTGCAGTGAAAGGAGCAAATTAACACATGTGCTCACAAAATCAACAGATGCACCGGTGTCACTCCTCTCTCTTTCCTCAGTGTTTCAAGTGAAGGGCTGAATGAGCTGAAAGTTATGCGCATGAATCAGTCGGGTTGGTTTCTGACGTCATCAGCGTGGATGTATTACTCAGTAATCACTGTCAAAGTTTATCTCTTTGGTTATCTCCTTTCCTGGTTTGCTTTGTTAAGGCAGGAAGCGGTGTGGAGTTATTTTTGAGTCATTTAACAAATTTTGGAGAAGTTTTTTTCCAGTCAGTCAGATTAGTTCACATACGTAGTGTCGGCCTAAACCTTCAATGTGGCCTTCGCTTTTTCACTGCTGCTTAGGCTTAATTAATTTATTTCGGTCACAGGTATATTCTGACATTATTCCACAGACAGTCATATTTATCATACACAGAGCGAAAAGGTGTAGGCTGAAGTTTGAGCTTATTATGCCTTTAGCCTTTATTCCTTTGTTATAGCATCATTTTGAAGAGGAAACAAACAAATCAGAACAGTACAGCAAAATCATAATGAGAGTGGTGCACAGTTTTAGATTTTCTGTACCATTGTTCCAGAGCTCCACAGTTTTAACAGATTTACAAAATTTCATCCTATTTGTTCAGATTTTCTTTTTGATAAACATGATTGTACCTCTGAGCTCACATTGGCTATTTCAGATTTTGAATACATACTGTAATGATTTTGACAGGAGATTGTTGTTTACTTTGAACATGGTTTTCAAAGTGTAAAGGTCAACAAAATCATAAAATTTCAGGGTTTGAAGGTTTATAAATAATGCAATGGTTGGTTCATTATAAGCTGATAATGTGATTGCTCTTATTGCCTATTTTTGCAAGGTAAACATTGAATTTATATTAGCCTTATATGTATTGCCTCAAATCTCAATACAGTAGGTTATGTAGTTATGCATTACCATTGAGTTGTATATGATAAAAAAGACTATTTTTTACTTAGGATATATTTATATAATTATAAATAAACC